TTACTGTAGAACTTATGAAATATGAATTAGAGTTGAGAGTTTGAGATGTAGGTTCAACTCTAGGTCAATATACCGAACTACAAATGTTTATTCTGTATACTGCTCTCTAGACTGTTTATGATCTGACTATTTAGCTAGTTTCTCATCAGAAGTCTTTTGAAGGCCCCTGGGCCAGTGAGGTTTATGATGCCCTGCATTCCTTCTAAGTACAGTACAGAGGGAATATTTTTGTCAACTGTGTCATATTTCCTGGCTGCCTAGCATAGACATGAAATTCAAATCTGACCATTTTTGTTACTGACGTGCAAATTTTTGGGGAAAATTAGGTAGGGCGGCATGGTGTTCAGTACTACTCCGATGGCAGGGTTATAACCTATCCAAAACTAAAACATGTTTTGGCTTCAGTTGTACTTTAAATCTCTTGTAGAATAAATTATTCTGCCATCACTGGAGCACTCCTGGTGTTATAATTTGTCCAAACTAATGCCACTCTTACTACTGCTAGAGAGCTTTGTTGGCATGCATACACAGAGTAAAATATTAAGAAAAGCATGAAAACTATCATTATTAATACTACTCATATAAAATGATCAGGAAATAGTTTTTTTTTTTGGAGTCTGGGCCTTTAAACACACATTTTTCCTTTTCTGCAAGAACACTCTTGTTCTTGCTCTTTGTTTTCCTAATATTTTAGAATCCCAATTAAAGCAATTAAAGCTTGAGTCTTTGAAGTCTATCCTGTCTGGATTAGGAGTTTCTGCAGTTGGTTGTCTTTAACGCCTTCATGACTGAGCTTTTTTTAAAGTTTCTTTTCATTAATAACTGAAGCACTTTTTACATTTTTGCTGTGTGATTCTTCCACGACAGTAAAATACTTTCTTACTAAGTGAGCCCACACATATTATATATTGTTTTTTAAAGGACAGATAGGGCTATATATTTATATCACATATGTGTACCTAATCCCTCACTTAGGATAAATAAAACATACAAAAATAGGGAAAAAATTTAAAGAAAAAACCTTTTCCCAGGTTTTGATTATTATTATTATTATTTTGAGAAATAGCACAGCTAAAATGTAAATACTTCATTTATTTGTCCTTTATTTGGAAACACCTCACATCCTTAGGAGTTTAGACATTTTTTTGTACTTCACAGCCGAAAACTAAAAGCTAACTTTTTATTTCTTTAACAGCTAATAGTGGTCACCAGGTTAGACAGGGGGCATACAATGTCACCGTCACTAGGTGTCACTAACTGTCACACTTAGTGACAGTGACATACTTTGAACATCAAGCGCTGCCATGAGGGGGTTAAATAAAACAATTAACCCCCTTAGCGTGAAAAACAAATCTGCAGCTCAGCTGCATATTTTCATTATAGGGATTTAATTTTTACAAAAATGATAGCATAAAAATATATATATTTTTTATTTAGTTTTTACACTTTACAGTATTTTTAAAAAATGTTTTACACTTTTTTTTTTATTGTATCAAGCAGTCATTGTGAATGGATCCCACTATGACGGCTTGATAATTTCATAAATCTTTGGTTATTATTAGGCTGCTCCAAACTTAGGAATAATAATAACCTTAGTGACACTGATCCTTCCTTACATGCTGATCCTGCAGCATTTCAGGATCAGATGCCACTAAAGGCTTCTGATCCTTCCCACAAGGACCAGAAGCCTGAAACAACGTTTCAGCATAGAAACATGTTGCTTAATGTTTCTATGCTGAAACATTTTGCAAAAAGCCGGTACACATTGGGGTTTCCCAATCCTGATCTGTACCAGCTGTCAAACTGTGACAGCAAGTGCTGTAAGTACCGCACAGCTATCACTGTCAGACATCCGATTTCTGAAAGAGATCGGGTGTTTGTAAAAGCTTAACTCTTTCATTAATAGATGCCTCAATACTGAGCAATACTGGCATTACAAAGCCCCAAATAGCTGCTCATGTACACACATACATTCATTTGGGCACTTAGTGATGTGGACATACAGTGTACGTCTCCCGTCACAAAGGGGTTAATATAGCTGTAGTCTCTCTTTGATGATGCCTACCCCTCTAGTGTTATATTCAATTCTCTGATTTATCATTAGACTACTATCATATGTTTCTGCATACATGAACAAGATGGCTCTACAGTGTTCTAGAAGCTCTATAATAATTTGTTAGGTTGAAGTTTTAATAATATTTCCTTGGGAATTAAGTTTACCTTCTAATTTTTTGTAGTGGTGTCTACAACAAGCATTTAGTTATAATTTATACAACATGCTGCACTAGGCCTCGCTGAACAATGGTGCCCTTTTTGCACAAGTTCTGGCTTCCTGTCAAGTTCTTTTTGTAATGTGATTACTTTAGCAAACACCACTATGAGAATGCACTACTGAAGGCAGTAGGGTTTATATGGTGGACTACTTTTCAACTCTACAAATCATCAAACAAGAGATGAAAGATGATTTCACTTCCAGCGCTATAAAGATCCATTTGGCTTGCTGACTCCTCTCATGATGCCTTTCATCACTTAACCCTACCTTTTCCCTTATTGACTTGTCCAGATAGGTACACGTGGGAAACAAAATAGGACAGTTTTTGTCACAATTTGCACATTTTGAGGCTTAGTGCTGTCCCACTCACCTCTCTGCCCTAAGCACTGGGCTACAAGTATGGTAACTACAGCCCTGTTTGTGGTGCATTTGAGTATCTCCCATAATGTAGAAATTGTTTTATTACTGTATATTACATATTACAAAGAATTTCCAACATCTCAAACTGCAGAGTGCCAGACCTTAAGCTCTAGTTACATACTTGCTCTAAAATGAAAAACTTACCCCAGCTTTTCTTTATCTGTTTATATGAAGGTTTACAACAAATGATTCAGCCATATATTTGCCTTTGACCTAGGTATCTGCAAATTATATCTGCATGGCTAACACCAAAAACACAAACAAACTGATGCTTAGTGCCCAAGTGTTTTTTCAAGTATACATGCGTAGTAATAATAGCAGGTTTTGCATTAACAAATAAGGACATTTGAAGTATATGAGAGATACAATCTGCTATTTTTGTCTGGCCTTTTCAAGGCTAAATTGCAAGGTTTTGTTGAAAAGGGGCTGGGTACTGCCATGGGGGATATGTACCAAAAAAAAAATGCCAATTAGCAGGGAGAGAGTGTTTTAATGTGGCTTAAACAACAACACTGAAAATACACAAATTTAAATTGCATGCTTGGGGGAAACCTTGAAGCTGCACATAAGGTTTTGGAACAGTATGGGGGGAATTTATCAAAACTGGAGCAGACAGAACCTGGAACAGTTGCCCATGGCAACCAATCAGCATCTCTTCAGTTTGCTCAGGTAAGATTTGAAAATGAGACAGAGAACCTGATTGGTTGCAGTGCAAATCTGCTCCAGTTTTGATAAATTCCCCTCAAAGAGTTTACCCTTTAAAAGTGACATAAAAAAAGAGTGCTATTTCCACAAAATTGCAGATCCCCAGCCGGCTTCTGGTTTGTAAACAAACCAGCTGGGGATCCTGGGTGATGTTGTCATTGAGCAAATATGGTCATGACCCAGGATAGCCAGCTGGTTATTCACGGTGCGTGTTTTTTTTTTACATTTCAATTTTTTTTTAAAATGAGTAATAAAAGGTACTTATCTCGTACATTTTCCTGGGAGGAGGCAGATATCTTAAAACCCCTTATTATAAAGAGAGTATTTATACTCTGGTAAGTCCCACCTCAAGCCCTCACATCCGTTTTGGAGGAAAGCACATATAGATCAAAAGAAGGTAAAGTTGTCTTGCAAGGTACTCTCTCAATATTGATAGGTATGTGGCCGGGTAGGGTTTAGGAAGGGGGGGAGAACACTTGCAGCTCTCCTTTTCTGGTCACCCAGGCTGGATGCCTTGGTATGGACCTAGTTGAATTTTAAGGGGGACCACAGACCTTTTTGTTAAAGATTAAAATTAGGGATGCACCAATACCAATACTGGTATCGGTATCAGTGCCGATGCTGAGTATTTGGGCAAGTACTCGTATCCTCCCAAATGCTACCGCTGCCTATCCGGATACCGTAACTTCTGGTATCAGGAACCCGGGCGGCGAGTCATTACATGCTGCCCGGCTTCCTGGTCGAGAAGCCGGCTCCATGCTCCCTCATCACCAAGGAGCATGGAGCTGGCTTCCAGGCCAATTAGGAAGCCCGGCGGCATGTAACAGCTCGCTGCCCAGCTTCCTGAATGGCCAAAAAAGCAGGCTCCGTGCTCCCTCCTCACCTGGTGACGATGGAGCATGGAACCTGCTTCCCGGCCAATCAGGAACCCGGGTGCCGTGTAATGAATTGCTGCCTGGCTTCTTTAATGGGTCTTCCGGTATCAGTATTCGGTATTGGCGAGTACTGAAGAAAAAATATCGGTACCCGTACATGATACCAAAAACCGGTATCGGTGCATCCCTAATTAAAATAAAAAAGGCATAGTGTTCCCCTTAAAATTCTATCCACGCCCTTATCCAAGCATACAGTCTGCATGGCCAGGAAAGGGAGGGAGAAGAGCATATTGCACCATACCAGTCCACATGCCTTTTACCACAGAGAGGTGGCCAAGCAGCATCCCCAGCTGATTTGTTTTGAAACATCTGTCTATATTGCTGCCACCACTGAATGGCACATCTCCAGCTGGTTTGCTTACAAACAACAGCTGAGTATTGACCCCAGCAAACTGGGTAAATTTGACCAGTTTGTTTGGAGGTTTGCTGAACTGCAAAATGGCTGGGATCAGGTCCCGACGCTCATCCCCAATGTTACTATTTGTACTCAGATCAAATCTATAATCAAAGTTATTCACAAACAGAAAGAAAAAGATAGAGAGATGATAATGCACATAAAGAAAAGTCAATTCAATCATCTATATCACTTTTGTTATATGTTTACATCTAAATGGCAATGAATGTCACTATATTTGTAAGAATGTTTTACACTTAAATGTCAATCTTACCTAACATTGTCATGTCTTTGAATGTAAATTTTATGGAAAATTCTATCAGGTGGCTTCAGAAAATCTTCTTTCATTTCCATGGCAACATTTCTAGGTAAAAGGCTCATTAAAAGACGTTCCTACAAAAAAAAAAAAGTTTCTGATTTTTTTATTTCATACAAACTATAAGATACATAAGCAGGTATTTAATAGTTAAAGTATTATTAATGTTAGTAAAATCTCACACAAATTAGCACAACAATAAATACACCAAAAAATTGGTGATTTTTTTTCTTCAATTTTAGCCCTTTTGCATGCATTTTTTAATGCTCTGCTGTCTAAAACAACCTCGAACAACAACAACAAATACACTTAAAATATGTGGAAAAAAGGAAAGGCAATAATTTGTATTTATTTGATGTATGACCACATAAAATGTTTTCATCCCATGTTCTTAATTTACCTTCTCTGTGTGTAATCACTGGTCCTGTGTGTACACTACAGCCCATTCGGAAAGATTTTCTTTTTCTAAAACTTAATGGGAAATCTTTTGATTGGGCTGTAGTGTACACACAGCCCATTGATTACACACAATGAGAACATAAGATGAATTAATTTCATGTAATTATTTTACACTAGGCTTAAAGGATTAGTTCACCTTTAAATCACCTTTCCAAAAGAAGTACCTCTGCATTCCAGCACCTGTATGTATTAAAAAGCAGTCCTCCTTTTAAAGTAAAAAAAAAAAAAGATGTTTAATTTCCAAAATATACCTGCAGGCCATGCATGGCCTCTCCCCAACCTGTCTGTAAAACTTCTAGAGTGGGTGACTTCGTCCTGCCTACATGGCAAAAGTGTCCAGCCACTGAATGCAAAGCCCCATCAGCACAGGAACAAGTGCTCTGGGTCTGCACTCTTTACCTCTCTGTAACAACAACAGTACAATGGAGGGAGAGCACATTGGTTATGCAAGGTTGTGAATGAGCCAGAGTGCTCATTCCTGTGCAGATGGGGCCAAACATTAATTTAGGCAGGACGAGGAGCTTCAGTGTTGAGAGGAAGGGGAGAGAGAAAGTTCCTGGTCATACCCTTGTTCACAGTATGCTCCAGTGCCTGATTACAGTCAGTACAACAATTACTAGCCTACTAACAGTTCCTGATTGATTACAGCCAGTACCACATGTACCAGCCTAGTAACAGTGCCCACTTCCTGATTAAGACCAGTACCAGCCTAATACAAATGCCTGTTTACAGCCAGTACCAGCCTGCTGCCAGTGTCTTAATACAGCCAGTACCACCCTAATACCAGTGCGTGATTACAGCCAGTACTGGCAAATACCAGTCTATGATTACAGCCAGTACCAGCCTACTACCAGTACCAGACTAATACCAGTGCCTGAGAACAGCCAGTACTAGTCTACTAACAGTACCTGATTACAGCCAGTACAGCAATTACCAGCTTACTTCCAGTGCCTAATTGATAACACCCAGTACAAGCCTAATACCAATGCCAGATTACAGCCAGTAGCAACATACTACCAGTGCCTGATTACAGCCAGTACTAGCCTACTACCAGTGCCTGATTGATTACAGCCCATAAAGCCAGCACCAGCCTAGTACCAGTACCTGAATACAGTCAGTACATCCAGTACCAGCCTAATACCAGACCTGATTACAACCAGTACAGCAAGTACCAGCCTACTAACAGTGCCTGATTAAAGCTAGTACAAAAATATTTTTTTTTATTGGAAATTGTATGTTGCATTGTAACATAAATTGCCTTTAGGTATGATGTGTAAAAGGGAACACATTACAAACAGAGGGAATTTCTCAAATTTTACTGCAAAGGTGTAAATACACTGTAAGTTGGACACCATTATACTAGACAGATGCCTTGTCTTTTGCCCCTGCTGCAATGTCACAACTTTTTCACCGCCCACACGACACATTTTGTCAGATTACTTCCTCTCCACTTCAAGCTCTCTCCTGTGATGGACTACAACCTCACGTTTAGTTTACTAATTTGTATTGAAGTTATAGTCTTTCACAGGAGCAGCGGTGGCTACTTTTCAACATACACAGGGACCATGGGTGTTAGAATCCAGAGCACCTCCAGGTGGCGCTGGAGCTGAGCCCTGCAGTTCCTGGGCTCACCTGCAGGATTCTCCAGGCAGCCAGGGGCTGCTAGGTGCCAGACCACCACTGGGTGGTGCTGGTACCTGCAGCTCCAGTGCTCACCTGTGGGTGTCTCCCAGCTGCCAGGAATCAGCCCATTAGCTATTGCTCCTGAGAGGGTATTTAAACCCTCCCTGCAGTCTGGACCTTGGCTCAGGATTCTGTTGCCTTCCCCTGTTGTCTGAGTCCTCTGGCCTGAACCCTGATACCTGTATGCTATCTTGTACCCTGGGCCCTTTTTCCTGTGTTTTTACACCCCTTGTATGTTCTAGGTGTTGGGGTTTACATTATTGGTTTATGGTTTATGCCTGTTGTGGATTGTTTCTGTTAGTTTGCTAGGTATATTAAAATATTTATATATACCATACTTGCCTGGTCCGTGTGGTCACACGTGTTTGGTCTGCCTGTATGGGTACCTGCACAGGTGTGGGGTCACCTGTGCCGGTATCCCTGACAATGGGGAACAAAAGTAGCCACCCTCCAGAAGGAAGGACAGTGTCGGCACCAATTCAGAGATGATTTGAGGATCTACAGCCACGTTATACACAAATACACACGCCCCTCTGAAGAAGCCCCGGCTATCGGGGGGAAACACGTCAGGGTAGTGTGTGTTTCCGCTTCCCAGAAACACCCGCCATTGACTTTTCAAACGTGCGGGTGACTACGAAATATCTCCACAGATTCCGAGTCTAAGAGACGGAGCGAACCCGATGCGGACACTGCCAAAGCACAGCAGCAGTAGAATCTGTTTTAATTGCGTCTGAGACCGGAGGACAGGAGCGAGCCTCTGTCAGTGTAAATGCACACAACGCTCCATCGTTGCCGTGTTATCGGACACACCCCTGTGGGGACTCCACTATATTTTACCTTTAAGTGCGGCCGCACTTGTGGAAACAGGCTGAGGGAAAGACATCCACAGAGTCTCTGATCCGCAAAGGAAACAGATCCTTTGGAATTAAATTGCCATAAACGGATACAGCCTTCTGAAATAACTACATGCATGTATGGCTGCGGAATTTAATCAGGACTGCCCCCTCTCGGTCGACACGCAATGTGAGTACAGCTCCGATACTCTGTTCCAATTTTTTGATACATTACTTTTGTATCCACATCAGAGACTTCCTGCCTCTTAGGAGATCTATAGATCTATAGATCATACACCCGTATCATTATAATAGGGTGATTCTAGGGAAGCTATTTTAATTGTTTTTAGATGTTTTGTTATAGGTGTGTTCACGTGTAATTGTTCTTCATTAAATTTTGATATACAATATATTCATTTGTTATTCATTAGACCATCGCCATTTCAGGGATTTCTATTTATAGGGGATAACCATTTTTTGAGCAGTCAATTGAAACCCTGGAATTTGGTGATTAATTTTGTTTCACACAGCGTAAAACTCCTGTTGTTTCCCTTTTTTCTTATACACAAATACATTTTTGTTAATAGTTAAGATACTTCAATGCATCTTTAAGATTTAACTCCTGAGTTTAGAGTCACTTTAAGGTGTATAGACTTCTGACATCCAGCCAAAAGGCATAACAAAATGTGTAGGTGTACACTGAGTGCATGCATCTTTTATTAACTATCTTTTCTAGTGTTTAATAACTCTTTTAAAATAATCTGAATTAGGAAATGTGAAAAAGACCCGAGGTATTACTTTAATTACTCGCGTTTAAAAAAAAAAAACCCAACTAGCAACCAATTAAGAATTTCATATTTAATTGGGATTTCTCTTGTGATTCAATACCTTTTTAGACTTGAAACCAATATCTGCCCCTTTAGCAGTAATTAATAATTCCTAAAGGAAAACTAAAGTTGTTATTCAGTTAGATAACTTCACATAAAAGTAATTATCACCGTTCTCATGTTTTGTTATGTTGTGTTAATGGAGACTTATGACATTTTACAGATATAAATCAAGCTCCCACAATACTCTAGTTTAGCTGCCTATTAGGGATAAGTGATCTGATCTGCATGAGTGAGTCTGCTGCAGATCAAGAAGGTGGAACATGCATGGATAATGAGTGATACATACCATGGCAATTCGTGTTATTTTGCGATCATAAACCATGTTGCGACGCTGGCAGGCATCCCATCCCTTCAGTTTTCACAGCACATGCAGCAGACAAGCAGTAGTGTGATATGTATATATACTCCCCTATATAATGATCTTTAGGGCTGCAACCAACTAATTGATTGATCGATAATAATCGATAATGAGAATAGTTGCAAACTATTCTCATTATCGATTAGTTGGTTGGATCCCCTAACTCTCTCCTCCATGCTGGGAGGTGGTCACAGCAAGGAGTGGGTGGGTGCAATAGCCTGCTATTGGCTATTGCAATTTGAAATGGCCAATAGCAGACCGGCTATTGCACCAGCCCACTACCTGCTGTATGTAAATTCAGCTGCCAACTGCAGAACCTTGCCACTGGCAGCTGACATTCCCTGGCTGAAGCCATTCAAGTGCCATGTGCTTACAATACAATTATTTTTGTAACATTTATTAAAAGGTGGGAAAAAAGGTAATTTTTAGTTTCGGCAAGACAAATTCTGTTGCGGGAGGAGCACTGCAGTGCCATTCATTTCACGATGTTGTACGTTCCAGTGCAGCGCGATTGCAAAAAATTGTGCATGCAGTTTTATTTTGAAGTAAACTTTATGTTTGTAACACTCCATTTCTGTATTTTATTGTAAATTAAGGAAGTTTTTTTATTTTATTTGTCCGATTAATCGAAAAAATATTGGGCCAACTAATCGATTAAAAAATCTTTGCATGCAGAAGCAGGTTGCTATTTTATATGTTATTCTAAATAGAAGGGTGGGAAAAAGTTGTGACTGCTTCTATGTAGAGCATCAGCTACATGTTGGAGGGAGAAAGAATTTTGCAATACTACCCTAAGTCCCTGTTCACACTACATGATGCGGGGACACGTTTTACCAGCTGCATTTGAGGTGTCA